TTAGCTTACCACGACACGTCGGGCTCCAAGCAGCACAGCGTAGCATCTTGCTCCAGCGACATCACACTCTGACTGCTGCTTCGCCCGAGAGTGTCCGTCCAAAGTTTTTCCCCTCGTCTAGGCGAGCGACGGATGGGTCCGACGAGTGGAAATCTTGCGAATGATAACGATTGCTTGGGTAAATTACCGCAGACCGACCTTCTTACTTACTACTTCTGTCTCGCTCGGTCGGGCTCGGCGAACGGTTGCGAAGGTGATGCAATGCCGTAACCTAGACCGCTGCGCACGAGGGGGGGTGGTCAACGTTACAGCAGTAGCAGCGCCTTACATGAACTGTACGCCATGCATCTTAGACAAGTTTCCTTTTTCCCCTCTCCCGTCGAGGGGAGAAGGGGGGAGTGCCCGTCTCCGTCGGAGATTAAACTCGCTCTTTTTATTGGTATTATTACCTATGTATTATTATTATTTTCTTCAACGCCGTTAGCGTCAAGCCTCCAGCATGTCATGACACAGTAAGTAACGTACCGTAATCTCCTAAGCCATCGGGCGACGGCGACGCACATGTGTAACGCGTCTGGTAGCGGTATGCTGGGCTTTCCTGGCCTTAATGCAAGTCCACGTAGACGCAGGTCCGCAACGACTACCTACCTACCCCTCCCCTCCCCTCCACACTCCCCCTAAAGATATTGTTTAATGCGACGACTTACTATACCGTCTTGGTCCTCGGTGTTCCCACGCGGAGCCTCCTGTCAACGTAGCTATGCGCAGCACACACTCGCGGTGGCAGTGTGCCGTGTCCCGATGACGAAGGAGGAGAAGCTCGTATCGAGTCGCGTGGAGATACCATGTTTAATTCCGAGGCGTGGTTCGTGCGAGACTGTGTTGCTCAGAAATCGATTGTTCGTATAGCGAGATTCCGTAGATTTGATCGTTCAATGGCTCGTTCGAAGCCACATGTACTACATCAGTTCGAGAATGGCCATGTAGATAGAACGATAGTATCGCAATGGTCTTTCGGCTGTCCCTTCGGGACTAACTAGTTGCATCTGTAGATGTCTGCAAGCCCCTTTCTGTGCATAGGGCCGTTGATGGCGTTGCTGGATAGGGGGCCCGTCGTGCAGTGTTGTAGAATGATTCTTAATTCGGCCACTACCTTGCGACGGGTTAAGTAAACGCAAGCTAGTTAAGTCTCGTATGCTGCATCGATCTACAAATTGGCAATACCATGCCTACACTCGAGTTTTTGGGTGTGGTCTTGAATTACCGTGATCGCTCTTGTGGAATCGCCAGTTGTCGTATACGCAAGCCCCTTCTACTAACTAGTTAAGCCAGTATTTTCTACTAGTTTTCTTCCGAGAACAAAGTTAATAGTTATAGAGATGGACTACCCATGACTCATTATCGTTTGTAGTAAATTCGCTTACTTGGTCCCCTAGCGTGTCCGTCTCGAATAAACCGTCTCGCTATCCTCGTGATTCCTCGTCAAGTTAAGTTCAGGTTCTCCTAAATGGGACATCGTCTACTTCCGTTTCGATTCGCAATATATCTACCTTCTGGCCCCGCGAGACATCTATGTTCTAGAAGATACACCCCTGATCCCCTAAAGACTTCTCGGCTTTAGCTATGCACATGGGATACAGGCCGAGACTTGTACGAATAGCAATCCTAAGAGCCATCGGTTCTGGAGTCAATATATGGCCTCTATTAAATACTCCCGTATATGCCACCTGCCTAGGAGTTTGCGGTAGACGCAACAATACAGCATCAGTCTATTGAATATAGCTTCGTACGTTCTCGCCGACCCGGGAGACTCTGTAATGGATAATGGCGTCAAGTATGACACGTAGGTAGTGAAAATTACCTAGTTAGATAGGTATACAACCTGAGAGAAATTCATCTATATCTATCGATATTATTACCTACGTCGAATCAACCTACTAAATAGGCAGATGCTGTCCATCAAGTTGGTCAATACATCCCGAGGCATGTACAAACATGGCAGTAGAGTATTTATTGCCACATGACTAGACATGATTAATGTTAGACTAACCGCCTGAAAGATAGAAAATATAGGTACCTATCTATCAAAGCTCTGGATAGTTTTATCGACTATGGATACTCTCCTCCTGCCCTCCGGGGCTAGCTACGCGAAATCGAATCGCCAGCGATGCTGATCCCGCCGAAGTGTGTGCCTAGCGACGAAGACTACTAAAAAAATGTGTACTTGGGAAGTCAGATGGCGGATAGGATTCACAATTTTAGGGGCAGTGTCACCCAGAGGAGTTGAAAGTCCCTCGAAAAGACCCCAATGTAACTACTCCCGTGAGCGAGCAAGAATTAGGATATCTATATCGACTTGAGGAGATGAAGAGTGGCTGAATAATTCGAAGCCGAATGTACGGATCGCAAATAGTAGATGCTACCTACCTACCTACCTACATAGGCAGGTAGACTTGCTATGGCTCTGGAATATACAATAGCCTCGAGGAAAGCTGTTTATCCGAAGAGCAGTTCGCTAAAGATACCCCCAGGTAAGTAGTCTACCGGCCATGGTCGATTTTATTAATGAAGCGATTGTTACTTTTCCAGTACAAAAGGAGTAACAATGCCGAATACCTATTGTCTAAGAAACTCCCGTTAGCCGTCAACAAGGATTGGGATGGGAAACATCAGACCAAATTGTTACCATCGTCAGCAACAATGCTTCTTTAGGCGTCATTTCTAAGAGAGCTCAGGCAATTAACTTCAGGCTTCGAACCCTTAGCTGGATCCCCCGTTGTGTTTAGCCCACAGATAGTCGACAATCGTCACTAGCTATGCTAATCTTGAGGGCCACGGCGGCATTAGTGTCAAAGCAGAGACTAGTAGGGAGCTCATTCCCCCAACGGCCATCGGGAATAACCCTTATTGATGTTGGTGACGATGTTGTTGTCCAGAAGGATAGTACGGTTATTATCTTGGAAGTATATGAATCCCATATGCACTACTTGCACAGGCTTAGGGGCATCGAAGAGGGCTTTGTCTCTCGAAGATATTATTTTTCCTATCTCTTATGTTTACCTACCTATTTAGCTAAAGGAAGATAGATTAATGATCAAAAATGGCTTATCATGCGTATGCTATTTGGACCACCCTTACTGCCACCTAGCCTCCTCTTGTGGCTACGGCCACTGCGAGTGGGGATAGTTTCATAGGAGCCTTAAAGGGGGGACTACGCAGTAATAAGGCTGGTAAAACTCTTACGAAAATATAACCTCTATTCGCAATGTGAGAAGAAGATGATTGGCGTGTCATTTAGTATATATAGTTTAGTTCTTGTCTTCAATTAGTTCAGTTAAGCAGGTAAATATCGTCGATATATCAGATATATATTGATATATTATTAAAATAGATATTTCGAAGTCGGGACGTCGCTTAATGCTAGACTTCTAAGAGTTAGCTGCTACATGTAACCTTTTCCACACCTTATATCATTACATTGCTCGTATTCAGACCTATGCCTAGACTATCCTTATCTAAATAAGGTTATAACTATCAATTCCCTTTTTCTACTCTTGTTATTTCTCTTAGCGTTTGAAATTTTGGTTAAGGATCGTCGTGTGGCATTTTTCTACTACATATCTAAATCTACCAGGCCCTTGCTATGTCGATGTGTTTTGACGCTTGTCTAACCTAAAGGTTTATAAGAAATTCTTGTATAGCTCGAAGATCGTTCCTAGCTGAAATATTACCACTTAGTTGACATTTGGATATGATTGCCAATATCTTTTATAGTCATATGGTCCCTTCCTGGTAGTGGGATTGGAGCCCGGGCCTCGTTTTGGTTGTTTATAGAAGCTTATTAATCGCTAGTTCGCGTTATGGTACTGTTATATATCTGTTTATCATGAGGCGGACCATCATGATATATCCTGATGAAGCATCATTCCGTGAGTCCGTATATTGCCTACATTATTTGTAAATTATAGAAAATCTAGGCTGTTGTGATGAGTAAAATAGCTGATGTTTTCTGGGATGTAAACGGCAGTGCCCGTCATAGTAGTAGAAATTTCTGTCGAACCCAACTGTTCGAGGATGATGAGACCAACCCTAACCCTAACCCAGACAACTCAAACAGCTAACAAAAGGTGTCGTCTGATAGTAAGGGGAGACGAGAATCTTTCCCATCCATCCTAGTAAACAGGTATGTATTCTGATTTAAATAATATTTTCTCGCCCTTATAAAAGCGGGTTGCATAGACAAGTGATGGAAGAACGACTTCGATACCGTGCTCATCTCATATTAGTTAACACAATAATCAGGGGCTTAGGCTTATATCTAATACATTCGGAAAGACTAATCGCATATGTAAATCTAGAAATATATTGTCTAAGATATCGAATACGTACTTTCTTACGACCGGGGTTTTGTATAAAAAATCCTAGCCACCGTATGATGGTCGTCTGCTTTTGCGGTGGTGGTTAGGTACCTAGGTACTAAGCCTGCCATCTTGGCACGTGCGTCTGCATCAGGTACATATGGTAAGGTATTCTCAATGTGTAGATGCCTCAAGAATTGATTAAAGGCAATTGTACCTCGGAGACTTTGTCAGGAGCAGCAGCAGCTAATTATTTTAGACACGGGCAGTAACTTCTGGTAATGTGAGTTACGCCGTCGGACCGAGCGGGACATCTCGTTCATATAACTGTTCCTAAGTACTATGTAGCTCGGGGACCGAATGATCCGTGTAGCCAATCAGAATTAGAAAAGCGACCCCAGTCGCGTCATCTCTAGTTACTTCCATGAGGTATAGGCAGTTGCAAGTTGCAACTTCAATAGGTGGCATTAACCTTTTGTTGAGTACCTACCTGTACCTACATTTGTAACAAACCTCCCATTTCACCTACGAACAAACTATCCTTAAAACACCCACATTGAAATGATGGGCACCTAATCCAATTACCAACCATCTCTATAATACTCTACGTTTCCTTAATTATCGCTGCTAACAATTGTCACTATGCGCGTTCTTTGGTACGCAGGGGTAAGCTTAATCTATACTTCTCTAATCCGTATATCGTCTCGTGCTGCTGGGGAGCTCCAAGCTAATCCAATTCTTTGCGCAGACCTCGACGGCCCTGGCGGCCGGCGTCGTTGCCTATGCATTTAACCAACGGGCTAACTTCTACTCCGCCATGGTCTACCTGTCGCAGAATAATTTGAGTCTTATGGTATGTTTTATGGTACACCTCACCATCATTGATATTCTTTGCCACCGTGCTGAATTACTAACCTTTGTCGTTCGATCATAGATACTCATAAATCTTGTCCTACTGGTATATGGTTCCTTCGTCTGGGGTCTTCAGCGACTATGCTACGGCCCCCTCCGGCCGGTCGAGATCGAGCAGCTCTACGAGAAAGCCTGGTTCGCCGTTACCGAAACCTGCCTTGCTATGACCATATTTCGGGAAGAAGTCGGTGCTTGGTTCCTCGTTATGTTTACTGCTCTGGTCACCGGCAAAGTTTGGGAATGGATAGGCGAAGGCCGTGTCGAAGTTTTGGAACAGCAACCTCCGGTGAACCCGCGCCTTTTCCATACGAGACTCAGCATATCCCTCTTGCTCAGCGTCATATATGATACCTGGCTATTTACGTACACTATAAATGCCGTCATTCAACAAGCCCGACCCAACATGATGGTCATGTTCTTATTCGAGTTCGCCATATTAACCGCCTGCTCGTTCCGCACTGGCTTCCGATATGTCCTGTCACTGGTTGAGGCCGATATAGTGAGGAAGCAGACCAAGCAGAGGTTGGAAGAACGACGTAGACAAATCCGAGAGCAGCGTGCCGATATCATGAGACGTCGCGAGTCTGGTGATCCCGCGGAGGCGGAGGCCGCAGAGCAGGAAGAGTTACCTAGCGAAGACGATATTGATGAGACGGATATCGATGTACCGGGATGGGAGTCCAAGGGGCAATGGGTTCTAAGCCTTGATTTGTTAACTGGTAAGTATCTATTTCTCGATCGTGTCATTCTTAATTAACACGCATATAGACTTCGTCAAGCTCGGCATCTATTCCGCTTTCTTTGCTATCCTGATGATGTTTTACGGTCTACCTATTCATATTATGCGTGACCTATTCATGACAGCTCGCTCATTTGTGGGGCAGCTCAGACTCCTGATTAAATACCGGAAAGCTGTTAAATATATGACCAAGTACCCTGACGCTACCGAAGAAGAGTTAGCGCGCGAGAATACTTGCATCATCTGCAGAGAAGACATGAGACCGTGGGACCCATCTGCCGCAGGCGCAGTAGAGCGGTTCCGCCCAAAAAGGCTTCCATGCGGTCACATCTTGCACTTTGGATGTCTTAAGAGCTGGATGGAGAGACAGCAAGTATGCCCAACATGTCGACGCCCAGTTACTATCGAGGATGCCGCACCTAATGACGGCGCAGCTCCTGGTGGCCAGCCTAATGTTCCAGGTCAACCAGCACCAGGTAATAGGGGTGCGAATGCTGGTCAGCCGGCGCAAGCTCGTCCAGGAGGTAATATGAGGGTGTTCCAGTTTGGTCCTATTCGGTTAGGCTTTGCTCAGGGCAACGCCCAGAATATCCACGAGATGGCTCAACGCCTTCGTGTCCCTCTTGATGGCGCCAACATTCCTGCAGCACCAACGCCGACCGCTCAAGCCCCCCCTGGCGCTACCCGTCCAAACAATCCTAATAGTATTACGGAAATACAGGCACAACTTCATGACATCTCGAACCGAATCCAAATGGAAATGCAAGCTCTACAGGCGAGCCAAACCGAATTGCATACCCTATATGCTCTAACAACAGAGTTGAATCGCCTTCGTCAGGTGCAACAGGATCCTCAACCCGGACACCCGGGCATTAGCGTCCAATTTGCTTCTGATCATGCAACTGCACCACAACCCCCTTTTGCTCCTTTTCAACCCATGTCACAGTTTCCCTCGCTTTCCGGTTTCCCGCCTCGTGTGGCAACCCCGACAATGACCAGACATGGAGGCGTATCTTATTCGACTGCTATCCCTGCCGGTAGCTCAGAACTACCTGAAGGTGTTACCATACCCCCTGGTTGGTCATTATTGCCTCTTCAGCGCCTTGATGGCCAGCCACCACAAGCCCCCCTAGGGGCTCAGCTACCCAGTCAACAAGTTGACGCTAGCGGTCAGCAGTTACAAACAACCGATACAGCGAATATGAATACTACAACTACTAGCGTCGCCAGCGGTTCCCAGTCATCAAACCATAGAATTGGCGACTCCCTTGCTCGGATTGTCGAGGCATCCAACAGGTATACGACAGAGCAAACTTCCGGGACTACTTCACAGCCGCAGAGAGAACCCCCCGTAGTGGCTGCGCCTACCCCGGTAGTGCCTAACTGGGGCGGTGCGTCGCAGCTGTATGCTAACGGCGGAGCTGGTGGTTCAGCCTCTACAAACGAGCTTGGAACGAGAGCAGAGGAAGCTTCAACATCAGAAGGTCCGCGTCGCAATTCAAGCGACGAGCAAGAAACATCAACGAGGAGTGAAACGAAAGGAAAGGCGAAAGCGGTTACGGTTGAGGACGCAGACGATGCGGAGGATGCAGAAGATGAGTAAAGCAAAGTGCTCACTTTTCAAGCTGCATTCTTGACTTTGTATTCACACGAAAACTGCATCAGGGCAAGGCGTTGGCGGCGTTGGAGTTTCGCGTCCCTATTCAACACACCGGATCGATTGAGGATCCGGCACGATAGGACTTATACCATGAGTTATTGGGGCGGTATTCTTCCACGCTAGAATATTTGAATGTTTCGGTCTCCACTTTAGGGGCTGAGGAATACATAGACTCCGGTGTACTTAGGATGATAGGAAAACGAAGGACCCGTTGTCTTGAAGGAAATACAAATGTTTAAGCTTATGAATACTTCATCGTGGTATATTCTATACCAGTAACCGAGGGGTATATATCCCTGAAGAGGACGAGTCGTTGTAGTTGTCTATACCGACTAGGAATATTGTAGCAAGGGCTACTGAGCTTCATAACCTAATGAGATGCTTGTGTTTCGTATACAAAGTCCCTTCCTAGTGACTGGTAATTTGTTGTATTCAATAGGATTACTCTTCAGAGGCGAGTCCTATCGTACAAACACGTGCATGTGGACGCAATAGTTTTCCTATACGGTCGCTTACCCCTTACTTCAGAATATAATCTCCTTAGTACTTATTAGCCCATTACGATAGGGATAGTGTAATAGGCCATCATTCGATCATATCTCATATCTCATATCTCCATTTCCTCAGTCGAATTTTACGATATGCTCTATTCTTGGTAAAAGATTATCAATAGGGGAGAAAGAAGGAAGTCGGGTCCGGTTACATGTCCTCTTTGACACGTCCAGATACTGTCCATTGGGATTTGAGAATGTGAGAATAAGGCGATCTCGTATAGTTAGAAGACCCCTAAGGTGGGACTTGATATGACGGTATCAATGTCTTAGTAGGGTGCCGGCGGCTTCCTTAGTACGTTGCTTTCGGATGGTAAGTGGCAGATAAATTGTCTCCTTGTGGCTATCCGTCTGCTCCTCCTCGAAGTTTGCTAATGCGCATTCCTTCGTTTATCTTGGCTGAACTAGAATAATTGATGTTTTGATATTCTAGACGCAGCTCGTGCCAAGTGTAAAAGTTAAAGGCTTCAAGATTTATCGGAATGGTCTCGTGCCTTTTCTTTTGAGTACTTCGTCCATAAGACAGTTTACTTGGCGGTACAATATGCAATTCGTTCACAGTTGTGCCGATCACTACAAGTCATAGCACCCCTCATATTATAGAGATGAGTTTTGCACTCATTGAACGATATTATCAATATATCATATCTTCTAGGTACATGTGGCCAAGTTACGGGATTGAAAATATGATATTCCATCCTATAAGAGGCAAGGGGCGTGGCGTAGCTTTTCTAGCCTTACCTTACATCAGAAATACTTGATTACAAGGCTACTAAACTGGTCACAGGCGAATCTTTCTCAATATGTGTTAAAGAAAAGGGGGGGTTAGCGTGGAGGATGTGTTGATAGGGGCGGCGTGGTCGTATAAGTAACAAGCAATAGGCTGAGGCGCAAACATATATACCACCGCTTAATTCATGGAATAGGCATAATATTGAGCTGCTAGGACTACCTATCAGCTTCGTAGCAATCTAGAAGTGCGGTGACATGTGAAAGGTATTAGAAAGTCTAATAAACCATCGCTACCCTATCCTATCTCAATACCAAGTTTACATGGAAATTCTTGGAGGCACAGCTTACGAACTAACAACAACCACCCTGTGTATCTGATATGGAATCTACCTATTCGCCTCCTAGCTGAGTAAGTAGGAATTGAAAACAGTCACAGCCTCGGAATCGTGCGGCGAAAACTCGCAAATCAAAGCATGAACTCAGACGGCCTAATATCAGAACCGAGTCCACGCCAGATATTATTAGCCATCTTACCTTACCCAACCCACTACATACCTCTTAGCTTTTCCATCAAAGAACGTGCTAGACTACCAGACTAAGCTGTAGCTACCTATATTAACTAAAACCCAGTTTCTCAAATCATTCCATAGACATCCCACGTAGTTACATCTTATATAAGGTAAGTTGCGGACGAAAGGGCTCTACTAGTGCTCACTCACCCACTCACCCACTCACTCACTCACTCACTCACTCTTGCTCACGTAACCTCCAGCCCAGCCATCGACCCAGCAGCCCGGTACGCCCGAGAAAGCTCACCCAACCCACGTGCGCCTGGCGCCTCCCCCAACTTCCAAGCACGTATGTAGGATGAGCGGTCAACGGCCGTGGGCCTAGCCCGGAGACTCTCGTCTAAACCCGTGCCTTGGGGGCGCATCTAGCGGCACTGGTTGGCTGTTCGGCTGTTCGGCTGTCCGTTTTGGGAACCTAAATTCCTTACTATGTATGTATGTAGGTATGTAGGTATGTAGTGTACTCCGCATAGCATCTATGCTGACGCCAAGACTACCCTACGCGAACCTCTTTCTCTGTAAGTATGTATGTATGTATTGCCCACACCTACACCTACACCACATACCTACACGCAGATGCCCATTACGCAAAAACACCGTCGTGTGACGCCAAGATCAGCATATATGTGCGCGTCGGGAAATATGTAAGCTCGTAGGGCTGCATGAGCATAGCCACAAAGCAAGCAGTTGACGCTAGCCTCTGCCTTTCTTAATACATCTTCTGCCCTTCCCACCTCCCTGGGTAGTACCCATACCCATTGCCGGAAGCGAGTCGATCCGAACAGAAGGCAATACCGCGCCGCGCCGCGTTTTGTGTAATCCGAGTCGGGCCGGACAGTCACTCAGTCATCCAGATTAGCTAAGTAGTACGAGCACATCTATGCTAGGCCGGTTTGGACGGCGTGTGGGATAATATCCTTTACAGCCAAGTAACTATGAAGCTACTAAGCACGCCTCAGCATCCCCCCATTTGGTTCTCCATCTCGTCATATGGAAACAAGGTGTGCCAGTGACGAGATAGTGACAGGACCACTATATCCCCGTGGTAGGTGTGGCCCGACCATCTACAGGATCAGCGTTGATTTACGTTGCAGCGTGCGTAAGCAAGATGGAGCAGGTTCCTGATTTCACCTCATACCTATGCATATACGGATATGACTCCGTATTTCGTGGGGTGTACCCTGGTTTCGACTACCCCAGATGTCTATCAGGTGTCTAGGAGCATAGTCTTGTTACGGATATCACGGCACTTCTCACAGAAGCAAAAGATGAGTTAGGTAGGTAGTTAATGAATATGAAGTAAGATTAGATTTGGTATCTGGCCGAACACCCTCAGGATTTTGTTGCCTCAAGTATCCTCCAAGACTAGGAAAGAAACCCGACATGCCTATGCTAAAGATGCTCAATCCGTTCCGTATGCAGATTGAATGTGACAAGAGTAAGAAAACCCAAGAAATGCGAAGGGGAAAATCCACCAAACGCCGCCCTATGCAAAGTATGCTATATCCAAGTGTAAACACTATATGCAATTAATCCTTAACCGGTAACACGAACCGAACCTTCTTCCGTGGCTTTGCAGCCGGTATATCTATTGGCCGCGTCTTCTCCTGATCGTCAGTCAAGTCTTCGACGCTCAAGCCCATCTCGCTCATCGTTTCCTTCTCTGGTTCCTCTTCTATAGAATAAACATCAGGACTTGGCTCACGCCATGAATGTCGTCGTTGAAGCGATTGGCGGGGCGACCTTCCTCTCAGAGGACGCCGTGGGGGTGCGAAGCGTTTTACGGTACGTTTGGGCGAACCGACGTGAAATGCGGCGGGTGATAATAAAGACTCTGTGGTCTGAGATGTTACGGTGGAAGACGGCCTTGTCTGATCGAAGAATTTTTCGAACCCAAATGGTAGAGATGTATGACCATGAGGATGGAAGCGGATATAATCCTCGTCATCATCATCGTCATCTTCGTTGTCATCCAAGACTGCGCAATCTGCCATCTTGTCTCTAGGCTTGTACTTCCTTAGCCCATCGAGAGTAGAAGGAGAGACGGTACGGATGATCTCCCGAGGCTTAGTTGAGTCCTCAATCCCGGCGTCAAACTCGAAATCAAATTCGAGGTCTTCTTCCTTTGGTGTTGGTGGTGTAAGGAAATACATCATGGGATTCACATTAGACCACTGAGCGTCAGGCTCATCATCGTCTGTTGAGTTGGTATCGTCTTCTAACGACGGGGGAAGACGGCTGGGACTCGGCGGCCAAGACGGCTCCGACTGGTCACGCATAGATGTGCTAGTAGGTAAAAAAGGCATTGTAGTTAATTTGTTGGTGACGGGACCCGGAAAGGGGGTTTAGGAGCAAGAGACCGGATTCCGCAGCGTGACCATTACTAAAAATTTGGATTGGTAATTTGAATGAAATGGAATAAAGAGCCTTATTGTAACCTTAACGAAGGTCGCCGGGCTCAAGCCGGCTCAGGTAAAATTATCCGGGAGGTGAGAATTGAAACCAGCCAACCACCTCGAGAGATAAAATTGGCGAGTCGTGAAATATAAGTAGAACGAAAGCGAAGTGTAGAAAGCGCGGGAAAGCCGCGTAATATATACTACCACTAGGCAGAAGGTGTCAAGGAATGTGTTAGTCACCGGTTAGCTTAAGAGGTTGCCTTGTGAGTGGGCGGGCTGGAGAAGATGGTGGTCATGCCTGAGGTTCCCGACTGGGGAAAGGCAACTCTTTGAGAACCTGGCAGAGCTCGTGGACGGACGCGTTATCTCGCAATGAATCACTTAGACTAAGTGCTTAGCCGTGGGAGGCTCAGACAAGAGCGAACTTCAAGCTGATTTCCACAAAGAGCATCACGCGTCTGAGATGGTGTGTGGATTTGATTTGAAGACTGGGCTGGTGGGTGGGGGTCACCAACATTGATAGAGCATAAGCCGGCTTTCTAAGACATCGAGGCCACCAACTCAAGTTCGGCCAGATAGGCATCTGACAATGTTGTATACAGAAAATCAGCCGAAACAACCGCAATTCAATTGCGTCCGTATGCTATGATTGCGACGTCTTGAGGCTTTTGCCCTTGTGATTTGATAATACCGGAACTTGATCGAATTGACTTGCGTCCGGATCGGCGAATACGTATGCATCGTCATCGTACCTTGCATGAAGCTCGAGTGCGGCACAAGCTCCTGAAGAACACGAGTTCGTTTAATGTCGAAAATGCTACCTTGACGATTGTTGACTCGAGTTGTTACTGGAGTTGTGATTTCATACAGAAGTTGGGTTACGCGATGTCGTGCTAGACTGCCAGACATTTGCGGAATGACCATTGTAACCGTTCTCACTTACACAAACACTCTAAAGCGATGAAGCCGAAGATAGCGCTTACAAGGGAGAACTCACCGTTTATGCACTTCACCGCTGGAAATGTGCGAAATATGATGGATCTCATTATTGATTGTTGAAGAGGCTGCGATACGCTATTCGCCCGACGCCCGGCGACTCAAGTGCGTACACCACCACCTTTGGACTCCAAGGGATGCTCGTAGGAGGGGTGACTATTTCTTGGTTTGGAGTAGCGCTAACACCCCAACACGAAAGTGGCGCCGGTATTCCTACTCTAGGAACTGTATCAGATGACGAGATTTATCAACCGGAAGAGGGGAAATTGTCTCGACTATGGTAGTAGCATAGTCGTAAATACACAACCATGATGGTATTTGCATACAACCCGGGCGATTCCGGATAAGCGACCGGCGGTCATCTCCTACCCTTCGAACCTCGATGAGGATCCTTGGGAATAGCCTTCCTTCGCTTGTTTTGAAGGTAATTGATGTTGACGATAAGGATAGTTGGCATTAGTCTTAAGGGAACCCAACTTTTTTGACAGCTTCAACTAGTTAGAGACTTAGTTTTCGGAAGCTAGCACGACTAAATTAGCTTTGGTGTGGTTAGAACTTGTCTTTGCTAGTGCAGTATTGCCCTGAAAGTTCCACGAGAACTCGGGTTTTATGACCTTGGGTATCTTTAACACCCGTCCATGTGGTCTTAAGTATGGGCCATGTATATATGTATAGAGAAACTGTCTCCACTGTGAATCAATGACGTCACCGAAGATCCTATCGATATGTGAAGTAGAAAAGTAAAGAGAAAAAAAGGAGAGAGAGAAGCTGAAGAAGTTTGGGTTGATCTTGAGCGAATGGTTACTTGAGGCGAGAATGTGAAACGATGAGTTTAGAATTGTTAGCTGCAAGTCCCTGCAGATCATCTCTTGACATGCATATCGTACATGGTCGGTGGCACATCAGGGAGGGATGCAAATTCGAATTACCGTAAAGCTTCGGCATGACTAGCGAATAAGTTCTCTAGATCTCGATTGTTGGTAGGGCTGAAAGTTGGAATTGCGAAATTGAGCTGACAGGCGGGTCACTAGAAAATGGGGCTCGTGGTCTTGTTGTGGCTTGTGAGGGTTGTGATCTGTGCACTGTGGCTTGAACTTATATAGGTCCCTACCCTAGGTACAGAGGCACATAGGTAAGTCAATGATCACGTGTGTTCCCTAGCCGTTGTTATCACCGGTTATTATGATCAATGACTTCCGCTTTGAGGCTCACGTTTATATTTAGATGGTTATTGTTCAGCTTCCAGTACATTGGTTTATAAGCCTTGTTAGTCTTCTATTTTGATATCGGGATCTCAAATTCTTATTCTTATCATCACGGCTATTAATGATTAACCTACGAAGTAGCTATTACTTAAATTCTAAATAATCTAAGTACCTAACCTTAGGTAGGTTCTCATGAAGACCGTTTAAGTCCTCCCGATATAGCGGTTTACTAAACTACATTCTAATGCGGTAGACTAGGCGTCCAATAAAATGTCCATGGTAAGATAACGAAGCCAGCACTCGTTAACCAAGTTAGGTGACGCAGTTGGAGTTCTAGACGGAAGCTTATCACCGGTTAGCTACTGGATAGTATATGGCGTTAACAGACTTCTTCAATATATTGTATACTTTGGCTCTCTATCAGCCAGCCATCTGTCACTCTATGGGGTGATATACTAAGGGTTATCTCTAACACTACTACAGATACGATGACTATGGTCATCATTCTATGGACTCACCATTCTTCCTTGATGCTGACATCCCTTCTTAGATCTCACCCTATACAAGGGCGGGTAACCGGGGAATATCAAGGTTTCATTGATAGGGCTACGGTCCAACATTTCCTGCCTAATCAGAAATTCAACCAACTGAGACGTGTCCAAATCCCGAATGGGTAGGAACCCAGATGTCGCCAAGCGTCTTTTACTTTGGCCAATATAAGCTAGCAGCCCGAGAAGTTTCTTGGTAGGTATGACTCCAAAAACCTCCGTCTTGCTGTCGACGTTACAATAAGACTCCCATGGTAACCTGTAGTAATGAACACTTCAACAAAGCCAACGGCCGTTATCGGACATCCTATGTATGGCTAATCAGGTTATGTGGAGATGCCCATCTGTGGATTGCCGCCTTATTGCTATTTGGGGGGTTGGATTATGCCCTGAGTCTTGATGACTCTCTCAGTTTCATTGACCGTCAACCAAAGCTATGCAGCGAGTTGTTCGGGTGTTGTCTAGAATGATCCTGCTACACCTCTGAGAGATAGCATATGTGTCCTGAATCCATTCCTCGCCAAGGAAGGGGTGAGCCTTGCTTATCATAGCACCCCTAAGGACCCTTAGGGACGAAGGTTTAGAGGACATAGAAAAGTGCCAAAATTGTAGCTATAGGCCATCAGCTGATTACCAGTCAGAGTTTGCTGGTTATGACGTTCTCGTCTTCCCCTGGTTTGTGGTTTCGGCCGGGTAATTTCCTTGAGAGGCCACAACATAGGGGAAAACCGTAAGGCTTGCGGCCAAAGTCCCGAATCTGTTCCATAGGAGTTGGCGCGGCAGATCTAGGAGATCTCATTATTCCGGGGCTACTAATAACATAAATCGACCATTCGATTTCAGAGATATGGCTGCCGCTTGCTTCGCGCCCGATTCATATAAAATAAACCGGGAAGTACGATGATGTACTGATGAGTTGTCGTCGCTATTTCTGGCGCAGAAGCCTTGGACACTGTCGCTTAGAGCCAATCGTTCCGATTTAATAGTCTCCTTCGCCAATCCTATCCGAATTCCCTGAGGCTATTGGCATTTATGAGCTGCCTCATCCCAACTGTCAGCATCGGGATCTCGGGGTTGGCGACCAGACGCCGAATCATTCACACACTGAAGCGTGAGAATTTGGCGCTTGCGAATCGTCTCATTAAGGATTCGGACGGACCCTTATTTATGCCGCCGCATTTAACTATCCTTTGCTGGCGACCTGTGGTTACCAACTATATTGCTATTTCGAAAGTCGGGCACGATTGTCTTCGAAATCCCCGATCTAATATATACGAAGCCAACAGTTCAAATGGCATCAAAGCTGTCCAACGCATTTTATCCGAAGAACGCTGATAAGCTGACCCAAAGATAGTGGCAGCAAACTTACAAGTCATATTCGAAGTCTCAGTTAAATTCTCTCAATAATAATAGCTTGGGGACGCTATGTTGAATGCGGTCTCACCGACGGCAGGGTTGAAGCTGGTTGTTTTAGTGCTGAGGCGTGGCAGAGAGTTGTACAACATCAGTTGACATGTGTTCGCTCTCTTGCGGCTTTACTCGGGTCTTGAGAATGAAATACGATGGCTCTCATCACTCAAAACGAGCAGTACACTTGCGGCGTATCGGAATATTTAAGATTAGTCCAAAATGTGTATTCCTGTGGCGTTGCTCGCCCTGATATTCTTAAGCCGTGACGCGAGAAGCCTTTCCTATAAAAAGAGCGGTGAGAAACCTGGTGATTTCCCGATTGAGATGAGGTTGTATTAATCCAATCATATCTGTTCAATTGCCAAGGACCCCTACTGGGCAGCTGGGCAGGCAAGTTGGATAACTGTCGTGTATATTTTGCCGGTACACAGCACCAATCATGTTCGACAGAGTCGACGAATACAAGTCCAGATTCTCACCGAAAACCAATGTCGTATCGCTGGTTGGTTTATACAGTTATCAACCCAGCAGACACGTTCCTATCCATAACGTATACACTGTACTATTGAGTATCCTCATGCTAGTAATATACTACATTTCCCACTTCCCGTTTCTCATTTGCTAAGCTATGCTAGGCAGTCGAGAACATTTGACGATCTAGCTTTTGTTAGCTTTTAGACAACTCTAGTCTATGGGAGGATCATGCACCTACCCGTATACATCGACGGTAGAGGTTATCATGCTGCATCTGGAACCTTGCACTTGCGTCAATGCTTTGTTGTATTGGTCATGTTCCTACAAGTAACTTTATGGCTTGGCGGCGTAGCATCTTGTATCGAGCCGAGCGAGCCATAGCTATTACAGTACATGCATACATGAAGTGTGTAGAGGAAGTGACTCATAGCATGTATGCTACGTGATGACTTCGTGATATCGTGATAGCACGATCTACGTCTGTCAGATATAGTGGAGGTTCCATTCTTTCTGATAGTCGTTATCTGCTCTGGGGAAAAAGTGAGGGGTCTCGCATGTGTAGGGAAAAAAAAGAAAAAGCTCACAAGGTCATGACCAAGTCCTTCTACGGCGTAAAGCCTTCGATTGAAACGTACCACCGTGAATGATTACAGTATAGGAATTCTAAGCGACTAGTCAGATATATGTGTGCGCCGATAGAGCTTGGTCTATGTAGTTGGATGATGTGTGTCGTTGGCACCGTCTTAGACTGGAGATGTTCACGATGCGGGAGGTCTAGAATACACAGGGACTAGAATCTATCTGGAACCAATCAACTTGCATGTACCGGATCAACATGAGATTTTTTGCCCCCTTCTTCGCCTTGATTCGAAAGGATCGACGTTCTCACTAAAATATTTCCTCTACCCGAGGCATCGTATAGCTCCGAGACTGCCCGTTTTCGCGACACCTGGGAATGGCAGTTGATAATGGTAAGCTTATCGCTCATATATCTAAGTACTTGAGATGGTTTCTTATAGGAGTATGATATAGGTATCAATGAAACATCAAGTAGTGCCTCAAATTACAAACTTCTCGCCACATACACTAGGACCATCTGAGTACTCCCATCCTTTTAGATGCACCAATCACTACTCATATACGTCGGCTCAAAAGGCTATCTAGGCTACTGGGTATTAGTATAAAAAACGTGGTGCGCCGCAAACCAAGTGGTAACTCGGCGATAAGATCTCAGTTCCTGGGTAAGGGCCACTGACGCTGAAGACATTAGGTTGGGATCTATCCAGCCTCAAGAGCCCAGCGGTTTTAAAATTTATGCTCGATGGCGTAATGTTATCTTGATTTGGAAATGTCGCATCGAGAGTATACGTCCGGAGTCGAGAGACTACATACTTACCTTACCTACATATGTATGTATTAAACGGTAGGAAGAGATGGAGAGAATAACAAGGTACACGATGATTCCTCCCACCGTGGCCGGCTGGCTGGCGAAAACAATGTAATAGTTCGAACTACACAGGTAGATTAGTCCTATGGGAAGCCGATGCTGGCTTCTTAAACTTATGCAATGCACCCTGCGTCCTGCATATGGTGATGGGATCAGTCCAATGACATGTTATTTTTTCGGTCCTTCAGATTTCGGAATAGCAGCCATGGTGCGTTGGCGCGTTGGCATCCCCGTTTCTGCCTGCACCTCTCTACCTCTCTGCTTCTTTGCCGTCTGCCTGCTAGCAAATAGCATTTCGCGAAGACGCACAAAATGGGCGCCCGTCGTCATCATCATATTCACACTACTCGCTGTCTCAGAAATGTCCGGCCATTTCTGTCCATTGCTTATTTCCAAGCTAGCGTTGAAGCGATGTACGAACAAATAAGTTAGGTAGTATGTAAGAGTAAAGAGAACTGGGGATAGTTCAGCAAGGAGACAATTCGCTAGTTGAGAAAAGGAAGAAAAAAAGCCGACCCTCTAACCCGTCTACAATTTTTTTCTTCAAACTTTTCGGCGGCCCTATTGGTACCCAAAAGCGCGAGATATACAATCGGGCATTAAACTCGACACCCGATTAGACGGATTAACAGCACCGCATCTTACCTCTACCAGTAGAACTGCCTGTTCTAGTTGTCCCTTTAGCCTCCAAGACGCCCTAAGACGGACGTTATCTTTATTCTAATTCCTTTCCACGGGCTTTCCATTCCAATTACCCTCCACTTCCATCCCTAACGTCGCCACTGGTCCAGTTGCGACGTCGATCTGGAGACAGCCACAACCAACGGAAAAGCCATTGCGTGATAATATGATCTACGCTCCTAGGATCCATTGGGCAGATTGGCGACATTGACTACTAGCACCAATCGATCCTACAAGTCTCCCTATAAGGGAAAATTATAGGCCGGCAACTACATTCGGTACAGACTGTAAGCGTTTGCAAGAAAGCGAAACGACTGGAGAAATCCCAAAGACCTGGACTAGCAGACAGGGGCGGCCTTGCCTCCACAAGACTTTACCATAAAGTCTTTATTATAAGAGAGAACGAACGGTGGCCATTGGTTCGACGAGGCGGCACGGCAATAGGCCACTATCGTTCAGGAACATCGAACATCCTGATCAAGAGATCCCATTTTTGTGGGCATCTCTGCCGCCTTGCGGGACTTTTGACCCACCGTTGGGTACCGCTGCCGTTATTTTTTTTTGCTGGGAACGTTGAAAAACTTCAAGGATTTTAAACTCCGTACCCGGCTGGAAGTCTTCCTTCTGACGAAAAGCCCTAGGGGTGTGGCTTCGCGTAATAAGCCGCCAAGGCTAATTTTACCCTTCTATTTTTCTATAAGCACTCAACGAGAAGAAAAATAAGAGTGTGTGGGAAAGGGAAAAGGAAAAAAAAAAAAGAGGAATACAAAAAAAGGTATTCCCCAGTTTTTGGCTATCGATATTACCGTATCGATAAAAACGTCGCTGCCAAGACCCCAGGACCCCTCGTTGCTCGAGGGGACATCGGTCTTCCCTGTTCGATCCTACGGTGTTCGGTGCCACCTTAAAAACCACAAGCCTGACCAAAGAGAGTTACCACAACTTACATATTGGACATACAGGTTGACATACGACATATACCGGTACTCCAATACTTTTCTTTCCTCATCTCCCGTTCCTCCGTCGTCGTCATCCGTCTTTTTCTCATTAGCTGTTACTATAGCTACCACAACTACTTTTACGACAAGCAAGTACAAGTAGGGAAGGAAAAAAAAACTATTTGTACATTTGTCATTTGTCGGCATAAGTGGTGTGGCTTTGCTCTCTCTCTTACTCCGTGTCTCTCCACATTACATTACATTACATACATACATATATATCTGCAGATATCCACCTGCCGACCTCCAGCGTACATAGCTGTACGACAGTATAATACGTGTACGTGTTGTATTGTATGTATAAGACAGTACCTAACCACACAACTCAAACTCACAGCCAATAGCTTGAGTGAGTGCAAAAAGAGAGACAGGGCAGTCGCTGGTTGCATGTGTACCTACTTGCATAACGAGGTACTTTGCTCAAAAAGAAGGCACCCCTTAAGTACCTGCGAGTTTCTCCTCATCAACCCGGCAACACCCTTCCACTTTTCCGTTTTCCGTTTTCCTCATGCAGCATCCCCGATTCTTCTTCATCTCCCAATAAAAATAATAAGGGAAGAGAAAAAATAAGGAAGGGAAAACCAAAAAGGAATAAATAGAAGAAGAGAAAAACAAGAAACAGTCAACACGTCTCCTTACCTCCTGCGGGATATTGTGGTTCTTAACCCTGCATCACTCAGTCGAAGACCACATTTCTTTTTCCCAAACCGATCAATTTTTATCTCCTTCAATCACATTACATGATCGACTCCATCCCGACTTTCTGACGCTACAAGTCTCGCCCGCAACGTCTGTTCGCAGGTCCCCACTTGATCCTGACCCCATTCATCTAGCCTGCCTCCCATATCTTACATACATACCTACATACCACTTTTCCCTTCCAATTCTTCCAAGTCACTCGTCCACCATTATCAGCACTGTACGGCTAGTGCATAGGACAACTGCCACGCATTCGGAAACCCACTTCGTTGGGTAGCAGGACAGCTCCGCCATTCCTGATTCAGTGACTGGATTCACTTATCAGGCACGCAAGCCCTCGGCATGGCGAAGAAGTCAACTCCTTCTGTTGCATACTTTGAAGAGGCGGACGACGACGGACATCTCATACCCGGCGCTGAACCTAAATACGCCCGCTCCACTCCGAGCAGTCCTTCTAAAGAAAAACCTAACACCGGTAGATCACGCAAAGATTCGACGAGGAGAGAAAGATCACCTCCCCCTTCATTCTCAGATTCTGACACTACCGAACCTCCTCTCGTCTCCAAGAGAGACTCCAGATCCAGCAAGATGAAGGGAGATAAGAAACGAGATCCCCTTGTCAAGCAGCAGCGTCCTGCTCCCCGCTCGCACAAGACCGCTCCGTCGGCCCCATCACGAATTTCTGATGAGTCGTCTTATTACGGAATTCATCCTCAGCAGACCGTTGCCGCCTCCAGACCACGGGCTCGTACCAGACCTGAGTCTTACTACGGCCAACGCCCACCCCTGTCAACATCAGCATACGCTCATCAACCGCCGCCGCCGCTTTCTGCGCATATGGGGCCTCCACCACCATTCCCGCCTCCTCCATGGATGGCTGGACCGCCGCCTCCAATGGGGCATGCACTAGTCCATCAACCCATCCCTTCTCCCACATACTCGGAATTAAACCTTCCCAATAGAGATTTGGCATCACGATTTCGTCGTCCTCAATCAGCTATGGGATTTCAACCCCCGCCTCCACCACCCGAGTACGAGCCATCGAAAGAGAAGGCCCTCACAAGAAGGACATCTGTATCAAGGAAGGTTAGCAAGAACCACGACGAGAGAGACCGGATGCCACCACCTCCACGTCCGGCTTCTACACAACCGCCCCGAGAACGATTGGTATTCCGCCCGCCACCACCCTCCCACACAGCTTCAAGGAGGAAGTCTGTCGGGTTTGAAGATGACGAACTCGTCGACGCCGATCCTTCTATGTATAAAGCCGTGGCACGGCGTGAAGTAGAATACGGTTCCGGTGCTCTCCCTTCCTTTTCTCGACAGAGACACCAGAGCTTCGATGCAGAGTCGGTCTTTGACGTTGATCCCTCCTACGACATGGAGCAAGCACCGCGTGGCCGACGAAACTCATTCTACAACTTTGAGGACAAGGTACGTGACGCTTCTCGATATCAAGAAGACGTCAGCGGAGGAGGTGGACCGCCATTGACAGCCGAGGCCTTGCGTCGTGTGAAGAACGATGGGAGCAGCCGCTCAACTCGAAGCAGTGCAAGCCGTGACGAGAGCGACTATAAGCAATCTGCGACAACACGAACGACGAGATCGAGCAGTGCAGATGATGACATCACGATCAAACTCCCTATGGGTGCCGTTATTGAAGTCGGAAATACTAAGATCCATTGCAAGGACGGTGGTGATATCAATATTGGCCGTGGTAATGGAACCTCCCGCGCGGGAGGTAGCGACCCCCCAGCTTCTACTTACGGCGATGACCGGAAGAGTCGGGCGGATCGATCAGTGGCGCGAACTCGGGCCAGTTCGCAAGCCGGATCATACTCCCGTACACGCCACGCTCCGCCGCCTGTCTATGCCCCCCCGTCTTCTTATGCTCCACCGTCTTCCTACTACGACGACTACTACAATTCTCAGTACCCAGCTCCCTACCTGGCTTACCACGATGATGATGATGATAGCGAGTATTCTTCTTAATGCCAAGTCGCTAAATTGAAGGAATCTATGAATTTTTACGCTTTGTTTTTGATTTACTGGGCAGCGGTTTACCTTTTTTTTTTGCCATTTACATTTGGTCATTTGAATACATTATGCAACCTTTCGACTTTTTATTCTGTTATATCCTATCATATACCTTTGGTCTGAATACTTGTTACCTTAAAAGGGGTTCAGAAAACTATGGATACCCGAAAATGGATCATAAAAGGCCCGCGGAATGGAAGCACAAGCATATGTTCCCTTGCCAGATTCCCAGTGGTCGGTGGATTTTTAACAGTGTACACGAATCTACGAGTGGATGAGGTGGAATGATAGTCGGGCCATGGACTAGGGATTTATTTGGATAGTGGGAGGATGTGTAGGTGGCTGCGAGGTACATCGAGCGAGCTTTGACTTGCGTCCTAACCTCACATCCACCTTGATCCTTTCAAGCCAATCGGGGAATAGGGGGACGATGTTCTATTTTTGTCTTTTTATTTTCTTCGCAGGAACTGGCCGTGCCATGCTGTTGTGCGATACCTTTTGCGCTTTCGAAGCCAAGCCATTCGCATTCACATGGAGTAAGAGTTGGACTGATAGATTTAATCCGTTGGGCAAAATGAAGTTCGCACTTCTGCTGTCAGCGGGACGTTTATGATTTTAGCGCGCCGAGGGAGGAATTTTGTTGTTGTCTTCCTTCGGTACGGAGTTGTTTTCAATTGGATGGACGGGTCGACTCGAGAGGGCCAGGAGTTAGTTTGTACCCTGTGTGGCCTGGCCTGCTATCACTGGGATTTGGTGCGAGGAGCACAAGGACGGTCGATCCGCCTGGGCCCTCGTGGTAGCTCGCATGGTTCGGGGTGTGACTGGTGGACGGCCGACACGCGGAGGGATTCGTCACGATCGCACGACCTGGGATGGCCTTTGGGACTTGGTCGGAATGTCCGTTAATTATTGATCTATGTATAGATACGTATGTACGTGGATGATTTCGAGGTAGCTTACGCGGGTCATGTTGGATATTCCCTTTTCTTTTTGCTTAATGAAGGAATTATGTCTTGAAGATTTCGTCACTTGTGCACCTTGGTCTACAGTGTAATCCATGTAATCCATGTACTCGAGTGCAGATATGCCCCATCCCGCCGTGCGTAAGGGACTGACGACACCATTGTCGCACAAGGGAGTCGTCCGTACTCCGTAAGCCCATCGTCTCGAAGGTGCCGCGGAACGCAGGTTGGCAGGGTTTCCCCGTTTCCCCACGCAGATTGTGCCACGTCTTTTTGCATCTACATATGTAATGTATGTATAATGTATGTATATATATGTACTCTAGTGCAGAATCTAACAGGTACCTAGCCAGTCAGCCAGTCAGCCAGTCCGGGCGATATTAACTTGAGGTATTATTGTTGTCCGACAATGATACATAAAATGACGCCATATCAAATGCGGCAGCTAGTCGCGCGCGCGAGTAGGTATTATTATGATGGTAGCTGAATGACGACTGGCTATCGGTCCAGAGGGATTGTGGGATCGGGGTTGGCTTGTTTCATATCCTTTTCTCGGGTTGGAGATGCTAACTTAGCTATGTCGATCTCGAGCTCGGGTTTGTGTGTTGTTCACGATAATACTATGCATGAAGTCCTTAAGTATAATAGAGTATAATAGAGTCTTTGGGTTATATGCATTCTTACCGAAGGACCTATGAGGATGACTGGGGTAATTTGGCGTTTATGGGGGAGTCTTACAGGATTCAAGCTCGAGATGGGGAGTTGGGTATAGTATTAGGATATTAAGGTATCTACCCCTTACTCTAAACGGAATTCTCGATAGCACCGTAATAGAACTCCGTATGATCTACAAAGACCTGAAATAGCGACCGAAAAAGGAAACACACCTAAGGGCGATTGATAATTATAGCAAGAACCAGACCTAGCTGGCCGCCGGTTCCGAGCTCCTGGGACAATGTCCAGGCTAGTGGTATCACGACGATGATGCTATGATGTTCACCAAGTCGATAGACTCAGGCGAATCTGAAACGTGACGTCTCTCCCTTTTCCATCACCGTACGGAGCTTATTCTACATTCTACATTCTACATTCTACATGTACTACCTACAACATGAGCATACTGCCTAATATGTAGCGAGAGGGACGGCGGGCCGCAATAAGCTTATTCGCTATTCGCTGTTCGCTGATGCCTTCGAGCGGCTAGCGATACCGATTGGGTTTTGGCAAGAGCGTACGGAGAGATTCGGGGTTCTAATATTCGCATGAACTAGACCCTTTAATCTATTCTAGCCGTACGGTTGGTAGCTGACTCGGGCGCTAACAGGTGTACCTTTTGACGAAGCAGTCGGCAGAAGCTTCACCAATCGACGTGTGGAATTGTTCCGTGTACATAGTTCTTGTAATGTAGTTGCAATGGGGATAGGATACCTAATAATACCGGTACCCAACAGAAAGGCACGCACGAATAAGCATTAAGCGAACTTCAGCTCCGTTACGATCGGCTTCGGAAGCTTAACCCCACTATCCTCTTCAGGATAAATTATAGGTACATGGATACTTCCTTAATCTAATGCTCCCGTCTTATCGATAGTAACCGATAAGTGTGCTGGCAATAGACCCACTTGTTGCTAGGCCAATTCCAAGTTGTTGACTTTTGACATCATTCTACCCAACCTCTCCCAGCCACACATTTCCGAAACCACCTTGTCAGCCATAGAAACCACCGGACAACCGCCTCGTCGTAACGGTGCAACGCTTACCTTTTCTTTCTTTCCTTACTCACCCAAATCAACCGCTCACAACGTAACGTCAACAAGGTGCATGAGCGAGCACCTGTCAACAATACTTCCAGCAATTCTCACCTCGTGCATTCCAGATTGCAACGAGGGTGGGTTCGATCAAGACACCTTTCCAACATCAGCTTGGCTGGTTCTTCCAGTAGAATACCAGCCGAGTCATTAGTTTCACCAAACTCTACTCCTCATTCCAACCAGAAATAATAACGTCGTTTATTCGGCACTTGACACGCCACGAAGATGGCACCTCTACCAAGTCTAGCGGCACACGCCCGTAGCTTGCTATCCGCAGCTCGGGACACAGCGAACGACCTCGCCGCCCGCTCGACGACCAACATCCCTAGCTCCCCGGCCGACGCTCTCCAACAACTCGGGCCCCTAGCCGCCCGATCAATTCTACTAGCACGAGACGATGACAACGGCGAACAGAAGGTCGACCCGCACAAGGGTGCCGTGCGGCCGCAGGACATTAATAATACGTTCGTGTTCGTGTTATTCGGTCTCATCGGCGCTGCCTTCGTGTGCACCGGTATTTGGTTTTTCTTCTGGGCTAAGAACGGCGGCTTCTACTTCAAGGAAGATGACTGGGATGACTACAAGTCCACTGTTCTCCGCCGCAAGGGCCCTAACGGCACTATCTTATCTAACGCTACCGCCACCACCCAACTCGGCGGCGGTTCCGTCTACAAAGACGTCGACGATGGCCGCACCGAGTACACAGGCGGTCTAACGCAGATCACAGGCGACACAGGAAGCACACTCACCGGAATCACAGCAGGCGCCTCCGATCTCTCCGCACGCGAACGCCGCCGCCAGAAACGCGAACGCAAAGACCGCGAGCGCGAGAAGAAAAAGGACCGCCGCAACCGCGAAAAAGCCGGCCGTCGCGTCGGCGAAGATGGCGTCCTAGTCGACGAACAAGCCGAGGCCGATGCAAAGGACCAACTACGCGCGTACCGCAACGAGAAGGCCGCCCGCGTTGGCGGCATCAACAAGGAAAGCGAGGGCAGCACCTGGGATGGCTCGACAAACCCCGAGAGCTCGACGGCGGGTAGTGACCTCCACAGCAATCGGCATAGCAGGCATAGCAAGCACAGCGGCGCCAGCGAGACCACAGCCGAAGGCGGACGGCATAAGAGCGGCGGCGGTATTCGTAAAGTCTACAGCACGGCGGACCGTAATGCAGATCGGGAGAAACGCGCTGAGGCCCGACGCTTGCGCGAGGAGAGCCGTGCTAGCGGTAGTGGTGGCGCTAGCGGCAGCGGCGTGAAGCGCGATTATAGTTTCCAGCGCGCTCGAGCGGGCCCGCAGAGCGCGGTTTCGTCGGGGGTGCGGGCGAGCACGATCGAGGAGGAGCCGAGGGAAATGGCCGAGAGCAGTGTAGGCGGTAGGTTCCTGCCGCCGCCGAGCGGATGGGTTCCCAGCGAGGTTAGCGCCGAGAGCGCCGACACGGGAACTAAGTCGTACCATCATATTATCCCCGGCTTGTCGCCTAGCACGGTAAGCGGCACGGATGTCAGGGATTATGCGGAGGATAAGGATAAAGATAGGAAGAAGAAGCGTGGATCGAGGGGGCAGCGGAGAGAGTAGGGGGTGAATGGGTATGTGGGTGAGGAGGGGGGGATGGTTGATAGGGGTAATGATAGGGATAGGGATAGGGAAATGAGGAATGGGGGATGAGTTAAGGTACATGATTGTTAATTTCATCTGGTTTGCAACTGGTGGTGCAAGTATGAAGGCTGGTGGTAATGGAAGGATATCGTTGCCGTCTAACATGCTTCTGGTTCTTCGTCATGTAAAGAACCAGGCCGGGGGGATAGATCCATATCGACTACACTGGTTTGTTTTCTTTCCTCTTTACTTTGGCGATCACGGGTTTACGGTTACGAATAGTTGTTGTTGTTACTTCCACTTTCAAGAGTATAAGTCGCGAATGGAGTGGAAGGGGTGGCCGGATGGATGAAATACGAACTATATGGTACGATACCGACGAAGTATGCCAGAGCAATCCACTCCCTTGTGACTTTCAAGTAAATGGCACTAATGGCGTTTCTTGCTTTGAGGGTGTGTGCTTGGAGGTTTAGGCTGTTTCGGCGGCATCCATGTAATTAGATAGCATAAGGTCAAGCACGACCGTTAAATATACAGAACGTGAATGAAGACGATGACCGAATGGATTCGCATGTGCTTTGGTTTTTACTCGCTTGACATACCTAGCCATGCCTTATACAGAGCATAGGCCAAGATAGACTACGTCAAAGTACGAACCTTATTCCTTACTTCCTCATATACATGGTTTGTAATGACGGAATGAAATATAGACGACGGATATTCTAGCCAGATTTTAGGTCTATATTCATATATACGACAGAAAACCTGCACAGATGGATACCTAGAGTAGATAGGTAGATAAGTACGGTATGAAAGTAACATGGTAAAACGAAAGCCGGAAACTATATTTTTATCGAGTAGATGATGGATTATTAGTGGTAGAGTAGGATGGATAACCATAACCCCTAATCCAAGCAAGCCAAAAATGAGTCAACGATAGATGCAGAAAGCTAAGAAGTAAAGAAAAAGGAGAAGATATCGGGTTCGCAAGTTAGTATCCTGCCCCCTTCTGTCTTTTGGTTATTCGTAAGACATGTAGTCGTAATGTCATGATAGTTCCTTAGATTCATGCGTCATTCTGTCCCCAGTTTTTGAAAACCCCGGTATGCCATGTTGTATGCTGTCTTAGTGGACGGTGCTGCATAATAGAAACGGAAGCAGGATGCTAACTATTAATAGTTGTTGGTCCTTGCGTACCAGTGTGCTGTTTTTCCAATATCTATATCGTGGAAAGGTCGCTAAAAATGTGGTGGCAACGGGTCGCCGTTGGAAGTGAAACGTAATTTGTTGTAATATTACCGATCTCCAAGTCGGTGAACGCTAGTGATAGGCAGTAAAGCCATAGGGCAGATTGTGTAAAACGTATATATAGGGTAAGGCCGTTCAATACCATGGGTGGCCTATGGCCGTGTATGAACGTATAGTTTGTTTGTTAGGGGCGAGGTGGATTTACCTCCTCGACTTCTTCGATAGACGCATCTTCTTGTCCCAGCACACGTCAACAGCATAGCTGACGTTTTCGAAATCTTCTCCGGTAATCGAGCCGATGAAAAAGACCTTGACGTTGTGCTCGATAGTGACTAACTTGGAGTAGTTGACCCGAGATTCCTTGGCAAGTTTCTCGCCTTCTGCGTAGACCTGAAGTGCTACGGGGGTGAAGCCAAGTTCGGGTTCATTCTTTAGAAGTCTAGGCTTACTCCCTGCCATGTATATGATCCCATGTTTGCTAGGTCTAACGCCTTTCTTTAGACATCCTCTTCGGTCGTACGTTAGGATTGGCCTATTCCTGTGAGTAGGTTGAAACATAAAAAGGGATGGAATAGCTTACACGCAAGTGCTATGATGGCTCTCGTCCGTTGTAACGATGATGAACCTGCGGAAACCAACATAGAATTTACTACCAGCCGCGGTCCTCCTTTTCGTTACATCAGAAATCGGGTCGTCGCCGCCAATTTGGCCGAGAGGTTCCGACCAAAGAATCTTGAACACCTGTACGACACATTTAGTTATCGTCCCATCTTCAGTAAGCATGTAAAAAAAGGGCACTACTTACCTCGCCTGGTTGAAACCGTGCTGAATGTTCTACTCTGTATCCTGTTGCCTACTTAGTCAAATATGAAAAAAATGAAAGTCCGAAGGTGGGCTTACGGCTATCTAGGATTTCTTCCATTCCTGGTGTTCCCTGAATATAGTTGGCGTAAGATAGAGTTGACGGGATCATAGGACCCGAAACTGGCGAACCACCACGGGGCGTTGGTAGGTCGTCTCCGTTTACTAGGGATGGATCTGCTTAGAAGTATCAGCCACTGTGTCAGCTAGAGTTTGACGTGGTACGGACTTAATTCGTATGCATTAGGGTCAACGGTAGTAGGCCAGGATGAGGATGTGGCTGCTTCTGCCACTGGCGTCGAGTAAGATGGCTCGCCTGTTTTTTGGGTTCCGTAGTATTCGCTGCGGCTCCTGCGGATAGCTTCCTGATATTCGTCGTCGTTGAAAACCTGGTTTTCCTCGGATTCGTCGTAGCGATTCACTTGTGGCTCTGAAACGTTCCCAGCTGTACCAGCTACAACAGTTTCAGCACTTAAGTAATCTGAACCGGTATCTAAAATCATTAGCGTCTCGTGGTCGGCTCGTAATGATTGCGTCTTACATGGGGGCCGCGTTCCTTGGCTATAGTCGCCCATTGCCAGTTGCACCCCACGGGCAACTTGTGGTTGGTTGCCATCCACCGAGGAACTGCCATAATCCGCAATCTGATCAACTTCAAGAGATTTTCCCTTTCCTTTGCTACTTTGCTGTTGCGTCTGCACATGATCAAGGTAATTGGAATCTTGGGGCTGGCGTGCGTCGTGTGTATAGCTAGCGTGATCGATGGTGGTAGCATGGTGGCCCCCATAATCAGGATACTGGCCTTGGTCGTATATACCTTGGTCGACACTAAGATGACCGACTTCTACAGCCAGGTTGTCAACCAGGTTGTTAATAGCGTCAGACCGTGGGATACTTTGGTCAGGGGCGTTAGGGAGGGTTGGCCCAATCCAATTATACTCTATAGTGCCTGATGAATGGTTCGTTAGCACAAACCAGGCCGGGAATTCGCAGGATACCATAAACGTACCATGCCGGCCTACTCGTTCCGAATACCATTGCTGATATTGGTCGTGCCACTTGGGTTCGCTCCAAGGGCGCGACGACTTTTGCTTATGTTTCTGCTTTTGCATTGTGACATTTTGTATTTTTACTTCTCATGGGGAATGTCAACAGGCAAAGAAATATGCGCAATGTCTAAGTCGTGGGCAGAGGAAGCAATCACGAGCAAATCGGGGAAGAGGAGACGAAGCCGACGCAAACTGAGCCTTAAATCAGCTATGCGGCTCTGTCACTGATACGTTCTCTCGTCTTAAAAGAATAACCCTAGACCGTTATAAGGATGGCTCCGGTCGAGAAGACAGCCAAGAGTGTGGGACAGTTTTGGTGAACACTACGCCAGCACGTCAAATGTCTCTAGGGACAGAAGAAATCTATCTGATTTGACGGCTCGAAGTCACACTCTATGTCTCGTGATATAGTCGGTTAAAGGTCATTGGCCGTGACAGCTTTGCGGCAAAAGAAAAAGATGCAGTGCTCTCGTAGGAATCAAATAGCGTCGACAATGTGGGAATGAGAAGACGAACTGGCCAGGGATCGTAGGTGAACTAGAATTGGAAGCTTGTAAGGCCTAGGTAGGCAAAGACTATCATGTAGGCATGAGAGTGGGCAGCCAATCATCAGAGGGGATGGTAATGGCTGCAACCTCGGCGTTTGTATAACGGACGGAGGAGTTTCCCTCAGGGCTCTCCGGAGAGGAGAGGGACATTCAGATGTAAGTGAGAGTGTGCCCGCATCGAGGATAGGACGGGGACGCGGGACGAGGATAGAGAAAGGTAACAGAAGCGGACGGCCGAATTAAGCGGTTAATTATCAGAACGGGGACACAAAAGAAACCCGAGACATACTGTCGCGACGGAAAGCGACATAAACAACAGTATTCATAAAAAAAGGACTAGTAAGGCATGGTGGAAAATGGAGAGGGGGTGTGGTGCGTTCTTATCAACTTTTTGGGAATTTCCAATTCTCACTCCCTTGGCGGGCCGGCCCACCTATATTTGCCTATTCTTCTCCGGTCTGGGAGTTCTTGTTACTTTCTATTGTCGAGAAAGTGAGAAAGTAAGAGGAGCAAAGAGGAGCAAAGAGGAGCAAAGAGGAGCAAAAGAGGAGCAAGTAGAGCGGGAGTGCGAGCGGGAGTCTGGGTCTTCCCAGGGTACCTTAAGGTATCCTAGGCCCTAGGGTCCGTTTTACTTTTCGACAAGGGGAGGGGAGCTCTAAACCTCTGCAGCCCGACAAAAGGGAGCAAATAGAGGAATCGTGGACCATCAAGCGGCAGCCACTTGGCGTAACTTGGAATGCCACTTGGGATGTCCACTAACTTATAACACTACTGCAAGAGTACGTTGTAAAGGGTACGTTGTCGAATACGTTGTAGCAGCCGCAAATGGCCTAGCCAAACAGCTAGGCCAGGCCATGTACTGTAGCAATGCAGAAGTCTCCATATTCTAAACGACACCCCCCACTAACCAGTGACCACTGACGGACGAGTTAACGGTTAGAGGAGTTGGGGTGTGTGCGAGGACCGGAGGGGTGCGTGAGGAGAATTCGGGCAGATGCATCTAGGATGACAAGATGAGGCTCTGTTTAAAGTACTGCTCATCTTGTGTACAATCTATAATATGTCACCAGGCGTTGACAATCGGTCGTGGACGTTGAGAGCCTCGTCGTGTAATGAGGCGGGGGTTGCTTCATAGTGTTTTCCCAACTCTTTTGCTTGTCCACGATGCTTAGGCGCTTAGATGCTTGGACGGTTGGACGGTTGGAGAAAAACATGCACGTGTAAAGTAGAAGTTTGATAGCTCCAGTCTTTTTTTACCACTTTTATCAACTTATTAATCTATAAA